ACACACACCACCGTGTAGCCACGTAACGAAAGAATACGCCGGAATAGAAATAAATTTGTTCCACTGTTCGAAATCAGAACAGCCTCTTAATGAAAACACCGCCGGCGTGGACGAATCGAAACGGGTCCGCGAGAGTTATCCAGCGCAAATGGGTGTTTAATAATGTAGCATCGAGCCAGGAATAATTAACGCGCGTATCGAGTGGATTAATTGTTTTTTGAATTAATGAAAAGCTGGCGCAGTTCGGCCTGATTGCAAAATTTTCCGCGGGCACGTCCGCGATATTCCTACGGAATATCCCGGCCTCTCCTTTCCCGTCGCTAAATATTCTAGCAAATATTGTTCCTCAATTTGTCCTTTGTCGAGCGCGAGATGGAATCGCGCGACCGTCAAAGGATCGCGAGGTTGTAATTACTAGAACTCGATTCGCCGAGCGAGCAGAGGCAGATATTTTTTTTATTCTTTTATTTTATCAGTTACGCAGCTGTTTTTATTACGAATCTAATCGCGCAGCGAAACATGTCAGCGATGTTCGTTCTTGTTAACTTAACTCTCTACGATTAATTTTCAACAAATTAGTCACACTTTATTATTCACACGAAGAGATTAAATTGAAGCGATCGCGTAACAGGGAAAAACCAAAGCTATCGAATTACGTACGAGATATTATTTAAATTTAATAATTTAAATTCTATTAAGATTTAAATGAAAATTAAAACCGCACGAACTCATGAACCGACTGGTATTTCATTATAAATTTTAATTGTAATAGATTTTCGTAGAAAATCATATTTGTCAAGAGCATTGCATTTTTATATTACATAATATATTATATTATATATATTATTATATATATAACTATATTATATAATTATTTTTATATTAGTTTTCGAATTCTGTATTTTGTAACGTAGTAATTGGTGGTTTTTCTTATCTCTGAAATTGTTATTAAATATTAGTTACCGAATCATCTGACTGTCCTTATTTATTTGTCTCTTCTTCGTACAATTCTTACAACTCGTGACGTGCGATCGGACAGCAGTTTCGCTATCATTGCTGTGCCCTGTCCAGGACACGTAAGAACCGGCTTAACGCGTTCTCACGTGTCACCGGAGCTGTCTAACGAGTCGCCAAATGATCGTAAAGCAAAGCCTCCGCGGAAAGCTTCCCCGTGCGTGAACCGGGATCGTTCCAATTATTTTCTTCCAGGGAAACGATCCTCGCGCGTTCCCGTCGGCGTTCAGGTTCGCATTCTAATAGCGTTAACCGCGATCGTTTGTTCCACGTTCACCACGGCCACCGGGGCCAAGCTTTTAATGATCCGACCCCGATAATTAAGCACGCTGCTTCCTGTCCACGCGAAATTTAATCAACGTCGTGCCGCCCGGAGACGCCGCTCGGAGACGGGGACGCGAGATGTTTCCCCGAGATTTCTGTATTTAGAACGCTTCTATCGAACCCCCGCCTCGAATTCCAGCCTATTTCCAGCCTCCATTTCTAGCTCGCGGAACCTCTCAGACGATATTAGCTAAATAATGCATGAGCGCAGGCACGCGCGAGTGCACGGGACACCTCGGGACTTTCTGTCGCGTCCCTTCGCGATCTCGGGGAGCGGAGGTAACAGCTTATTTCGAACGATTCAGCTTCGACGGTGCGCGCTATTTTTGCGGATTTGGTGCGCGTGTCGACAACGGGTCGAACGAAGTCCGGCGAAATAAATCCGTGCGAGACTTTGATATTTTTCGGCGAACGGCGAAAACGTTTCGTCAAAGCGGGAAACGCTTCGCCGAGTCGCCCGGCGAATCGCGGACTCGCCGAATCGTGGGACGCAATCGCGGGACGAAATCCGCAGTTACAATAATTTTGAAACGTAATGCTCGCTCATACTTGACGCGGCTTCGTTTCGGTATATTTTAGTTGCTCGCGCTCATTATGAACTCGTCGACTACGCAGTCCAGTAATGATTACATACACCCGCGCGGTCCTCTATCTAAAACTGTTAATGACGTCTCAGTGGACGAACATCATTGCTCGACCCACATCGCGTGCCGCGAGTTTATCTGAAAATCTCTAAGCCTCAATTTTAAATATATATATATTTTCCTTCCTAAAGAATTCGCTCTTCCGCGCACGATTTTCCCGCGATTAAAACTTCCACGAACGCGGACGTTTTATATACATGGTTCCCCGAGCAATTGAAACCGTTAATGCGGCAAATGAAATTCTGTTTTCACTTAGATTCGTATTACCGTGCAATGAAGATCTGCGTTCACGTTCGTTCGGATATGTAGAAAGCAATCTAGAATCCTGCACAATGAACTTATAATTGCCTTTTGCAAATCAATTGCGCAGAAAATGAAATTCTATTGGACTCAAGATTCTGCGCAATCAAAGTATAAATTTATGTTCGATCGATTACGTATAAATTTTATATTGAAAATATGTCATATTTAACTTCGCCCTTCTAAAATTGATCTAATACATAATTTCATTTTCAAATCAATAGCGCAGAAAATGAAATTCTATTGGACTCAAGATTCTGCGCAATCAAAGTATAAATTTATGTTCGATCGATTACGTATAAATTTTATATTGAAAATATGTCATATTTAACTTCGCCCTTCTAAAATTGATCTAATACATAATTTCATTTTCAAATCAATAGCGCAGAAAATGAAATTCTATTGGACTCAAGATTCTGCGCAATCAAAGTATAAATTTATGTTCGATCGATTACGTATAAATTTTATATTGAAAATATGTCATATTTAACTTCGCCCTTCTAAAATTGATCTAATACGTACTATTGTACTCAAGATTCTGCACAATCAAAGTATACAATCTTCAATCGACTGCGTATAAATTTCATACTGAAAATGTTTTATACTTAAGACATGTGAATGTCACGTGACATTTCTATGTCCCAGCCTTTAGCATTAATGGTATCGCGTACATTGAAAGTCAAACAATTGACATTTCCAATGGCACTAATTAGAAGCAAAACGGTCTTTCAGTATTTTTGTAAATAGTATTCAAAAAAATGATGTTCCCTACGCATCTCCCCCGATCGTACATGGAGTATCGTCGCGTTAGATTAGTATTTCAGTGATCCACATAATCGGCAATCGCCAGATAGATTCGATTAGCCAGCGCCGAAGGTGTTCGCGGTCGTTTCCGCGTTTCTGCATCGTTGGCACTCGTTAGCCGGCCAGGAGGGTGGAGGGTGGAACTCGTTGCACGAAAAGGAAAGGCATTATTCTCTTAACGAGGCAAGACGTATCTCGCGAGCACCTCGTCCGATTCTGCTGTCTCATTCGTTCCGCATCGGAGGAAGAGAGAGAGAGAGAGAGAAAGAGAGAAAGAGGAGAGAGATCCTCTTTGAGAGAGTTTCCACCGCGAACACGCCCCCGGCGAAACGGATTTTCTAACGACGCCGCGATGAGCCACGCCAAAAAGTCAGCCTCTTTTTCTCGAAAGCGGCGGAAAAAAGAAAATGGAAAAGAAACGTTCAAAGGAGACGGTGACGAGGCCTTTGCGCGGACCCGGGGCACACGCCGCGCGCGCGACTTGCCCTCCATCCCTCTTTCTTTCGCCCCCTCGGCCACCCAGCGTTTCCCTCGGAGGTTCGGATTGTCAAAGAATCTCATTCTCTCAAGCTGACTTACTACCGCCGTTTATTATCGTCGACGGTTGTTCCGGAAACGGGCGTAATTTCCCACGCGAGAACGAGAAACGGCCTGGGACCTCGATGCCGGCCCTGCCGGCCTTCGAACATTATTTCTTGCGATCCGCGGCTCTTAAATATTAAGGCGGTCCTTCCCACCGCGGTACGCTACTTTGCAATATACTTTTGCGACCGGCGAATATGTCTCGCGAGCGTTAAAGTCCATTAGGATTTACGAGAAAGAGTTATAACTTTCGGATGTACAGCAATTTCTCTCTAATTCGCGCTCGGATCGCGCACGAAAATGGACAATTGCGGAAGGGGAGATACGATTATTCGAGGGCTTGCGTCTCTGAGCATTAATTAGAGAGAATTTACTGTATGCAGAACTTGGATTTTATCGTGTAATTATTCATGATTTTTTGTAAATCTTTAATACTCGCATACATTGGTAGGATTCGTTTTCGTACAAATTTAAACTCGCCGGATTTACGAATATTCGCGGTGGGATATTTTGTGTATGTACTCTCTTTGAAAGGTATTGTTTTATTTTGTTCCGTCATAAATTTATGTTGTCCTCCATTTTCATCTGGATTGTTTACCGAAGATATTATTTCAGAATTTTATATAACGAGGAAGATGAATATATTTATGGTATCATTAATATATTTTGAAACAATTTTTACTATCAGTTATTCAATTCGTATCGTTATAATTTTAATTGATAGAAATAGGTACACGTTTATATATGAATATATGTATAAGTGGAACAATCGTATATTAGACTGATATAACTTTTTTAATTACCACGTTATCCTAGTCTTTATTGACTTCTGCAAATAACGTTCTTCTCCCTTTTGTATTTTTATATTAATTATCTGTATCCTTTCATATAATCGGCTTAAAAACATTTTATCATAACGCAGTTTCCAAAGACATGTATTCTTTTAGAAAAAGGGTTAACATAAATTGGTCCAACTCGCCCAAAATGAAGCTACAAAGTCTCGTTCTCTTGTTATTAAAATAGTAATAGTAGCATATTAAACAGTAAAACAAGAAATCGTAACAATTAAACGAACCGAATTGTCCGGTATTTCCCAGAAATATGTGACAATGAGTCGGTCTGACCAACTTATCCGCGTCGCTATGCAAATTCTTATGGTCGCACGCTATGCGCACGGGCCACAGAACAGCAGACAGGTGAAAACGTGGATATTTCGCGAGCACCTGGTATCGTGGCACATTCAACCAGTGCCGAAACTGCAGCAGCGTGTCGCCGAGCGAGAAGTGCGGTTGCCATGAATGTTCAATGACTGATAATCATCCTTGACCGCAGGATATGGACATGCTGCAACTGTTCGCATCGCCAGCGGGTCGAGCACTGCTCACCAGTGACAATCGGCCGAGAGGATCGACGTCGACCTCCTCCTTGTCTCGAGAGTCCTCTTCGAGGCTGAAGAGCGGCAGAAGACCATCGGGCACGGGTACAGTCAGTGCGCCGACCTCGCCGCCGAGGCAACGAAAATCCAGCGCCGAACTGTACAAAGAGGCTGTCGAGATACTCGGTCTCACCTGTTCGCTGACTGATAGCTGCCGATGCATCGACTGCCAGGTGAGCCCTGTTCCTTGATTTGCTGCCTTGGTTCCCGGCATACCCTCCATTCGACTCCATTCGGCTCCATTCGGCTCCATTCGACTCCATTCGACTTCATTCGACTCCATTCTGTTCACGTTTTCCTTTTCTTCCTTCTTTCACTTTTCGAACATCTGAAAATTCTGATATACAGTAATGTCTCTCTAGTTGACGCTCAGATTGTCCACAGAAATGGACAATTTGGGAGGAGGAGATACGATTGTTCGAGCCTTGCGGCTCGTTTTTATAGTTACGAAGTGTCAACCACTGTAAAAAACGAGCTGCAAGGCTCGAGTAATCGTATCTCCTCTTCCCAAATTGTCCAGTTTTGTGGGCAATCTGGAAATGGGTGGTTCCTGAGGTCATTTGAAGCAACTTCTTCCTTTGCGAAAATTTTCTCCGAGGCTTCGTTTACGAGTTATTAATGAAAAACTCTGACCAATAAGAGGCGAGCTCGGCTGGCGCGCGGCGGCCCAGCCAACGAGTTCACGGAGCCCAGTTCCGCCCATTGGCTCGGCCGTCTCGCGCCAAATGATCACGCCTCTGATTGGTCACTGTTTTTCATTAATAACTGGTAAACGAAGCCGCGGATTGCATTTTCGTTGAGGAAAAAGTTGCTTCAAATGATCTCAGGAATCCCCTACTTTCGGATTGCGAGACATTTTTGGGACACCCTGTATGTCTCCACAAAATATTTCATGACTTACTTAGAAGATGTATAAATCAAATATTTGCACCTATTTGTTATGTTCTCTCTTGAAGAAATAGGTAGTATGTAATCAGCAAAATGTCTTTCAATTAATCTAAATGATTTTGGCGTCAAATCTAGACGATTTCGGCGTCCTGCGATGACGACAGTCCACGACACCCTTAGTCTATTACAAATAAAAAACGTTACAGAGACGCCATTTCTAAATTTTACGTACGTTTACGCTAAAAATGGGACTTTCAGCCATGCCCTACAGTTCACCACTTCCTTCCATTCGCATAATTTCCCGAACTCTTCACGCCAGCTCGATATTTTCCACGTATTCGACAAGCTCGATAAAAACCAAAATAAAATCGACCGCAAAAACTCCAGCACTTCGAAAACATCATCGTAACAAAGTAGCGACTCTTCCAGATTGCCCGTGACATACTAATTAACTACCGAGTGACTATGAAAGTGCTCCGCAGGCGGTTCCCATCGGGAACCCCTATTCGCGCGCAGGTCAAGGAACGGGTTAAGGAATTTTTATCCGGGACGGCAATTCCCCGGGATAGAAGAACCTCCTCCATCCCCAGGAAACGATTCGAAATCCCAGCAGAACGAGCTCCTCCCGTCCAATTACAAGGATCGAAAAAAGAATCAAATTGCCAGCCGTGGTCCCGGCGATCCCCCTGCGCATCCCGGAAACAAGCGACGTATAATTGCATCCACTTTGCGGATACGCTGTAACATGTCCCGCGCAATTAGAACGAATCAGTTGTAATCTCTGGAACGAAGCGGCCGCCCCGTTGCTGTCCCTGTTTAAGAGGCAATCGTCCGGCCACCGGTTATAACCGCGAAACGAAACCGCCGCCGCGTCCATCGATCTCTCCTCCGCCCCCGCGAGCTTTCATTTTTCCGTCGCTCGGCCACGCGTAAATATTCCCAGCGAGCGCTCGTTTTTATCGAGGACGCGCGCGGTCCCGGCGCCGTGCTCCCGTTTTTGGGACGGTAATGGAAGGAGAGTGGAACAGCCGGGACGCTGCCGGGATGGAAACCGGTGTCCGAATTTAATTAAAAATTTTATCGCGTTCCCGGCGATCTTTGTAATTGCCGCCGCGTGGCCACTCGGCTTTCGCGTGCTCGCGATTACACCGGGTATTCGGGCTCCTAATGAAACGATCCCGCTGTCCCGATGGCAGATTCACGGGGAACCGGTGTCCCGTGTGCACGGCTCGTTTCTCAGTTTCAGCTTCCTAATCTCTAACGTCGAGCTTCCAGGATTAGATCGTTTTTTAACCGGCTAACCGGGGAATTAGATCTTGTAGAACCGGATTCGCGGTGGACACTTTTTTCCTTGGCGAAGTCACGTTATCAGGCTTAGCTCGTTTCAGACGGTGAGGCTTTTCTTTGCAACGCGAAACGTTGAGAGGTATTCCGAGAATATTTTTTCGACGAGAACTCCGGAGATTTGAAAAGATTCGTTCGCGCATTTCGCAGAGGAAAGTCTTCCTTTTTTGCAACGAGCTAAGATGGAGCTTCGTTGAGTGACTTTATTGCCATTTTATTAAACTGTTTATCGGGCGAATTAACCTTCGTTCAACTCGTTTCACAATGGGAATTATTTTCTTCGCGGCGAAGAGATGTATTATCAGGCTGAAAGCAATAAGAAACTATCGCTTTTCGCTTGTCGATTATTCGTGCATTCGGGCAGAATATTTTATGACACGTTCGGGAAATATATCAATCAAATGTTTCCAATGTCT